CTACTATTTTGAGGACAAACCCTATTATTTAAGAAACACAAAACTAATTAAATTGGTGATAGCTTAAATGATACCCATAAAAAAATAGTACCTATAACAATATTTTTTTAATAAATATTTTCAATCTTCATCGTCAGTGGAATCGTCTTCATATTCAAACTCTGGTTCGACTTGGTTGTTTCCATCAACGTTTTGAGTATCTGCAACGAAACATTTTATTTTATTTCATAATATTATTGGTTTTGAAAAAAATCTTTAAAAAAGCTTGAGTATCCCTTAGATTATCGGGTGTAATAACAACATCCTCATAGGCTAACATTTACACATAGTTCTCAGCATCTGCATGCACCATACCCTAGTAATGATTTTAGCTAGTCAGGTTTCGGTAATGGAGCTTATTATTAAAAAGAAATATAAATTTATTATAAAGTTTACTTGCAAAACATTACAATATTTAACTTATTTATATATTTATATTAAATTAAATTTAATTAAACTAAATTAAATTAAATAGTCTGCAATAGACCAAATGTACCTTCACTCGATGAGGGAGGCGAATGAGTTGTAGGATCATTGTGCCTTTGCTATTTAAGGGTCATGATTATGTGACGTCACTCCCGAAAAGGGCTTCGTTCCTGGGTATGTTTATATTATTTGAAGTGGTCTGCTGATATCTCGAAATACTTAGAGATGCTTAGAATATCAATTAACACCAATCGATAGTGACAATTGTTATTTTCAATTATCGAATTATAAAATGTATTGCCTTAAGTGCACTTGTGTTTATTGAGATCCCTCTTAATAGTGACAAAATAATTATTAACATTCTATGAATTATGGCAATGGTGTGGATTGATCACCCATAACAAGCTACTTCTGCTTATGCAAATCTGCAGATTATGTTATTTCCGTGATTTGTGACAAATTTTCTTCAACATAAAAAAAATAACCTTATCGAGAATGTTGTTGCTGTTTTTTGCAAGTATGTGACTCTCTCATTTCCTTGTGTCACGCTCAAAATGTCAGATTATTGAAATACACACTGTTATATATGTAATTAACTTACCTTACTATTAGCTTGAGTTTCTCCAATGATTGTTTCTTTTTACTAAGCTGATCGGCTGCCCTGGACGTACAATACTATATAAAGGGGTTGGGTATGGTAGGAGTACTTCACAAGATGCAAGGTAGCTTCCCTTATGTTATTCTGTTCTGCTTGAGTAAATCCCAAAATCCCCACTTGGGTTCCCCTACTATAATAACACTTCTATAATATGACAATATTTGTCAGTGTATGTAAATGCTCCAATAAAATTAAAAACTTTACATGAATTATACTGCAATGATACCACTTGATGTAATCATTATTTTTACATTTGAAAAAGGTAAATGTGGAGCAAATTCAACAGAGAGTTCTCTGATATTTACATATAGTCCTTCATTTGATAAGTTTTTGTTTTCTGGGATTACATGCATTATATCTGTTTTCTTTAGATACAATCTACTACAAATCATATTTGACCATGCTAAACCAAGAGATGGTATAACATTATGAGATGAAGTATTAAAACTAGCCGTGACTTGATTAATGCAGAGAACTGCTAAATTGTGTACTTGAGCAATGTTAATCAATGAATTGGCTAACTGTCTCAAATCATCTGCACGTTGCATAAAGTTAGCACTTTCAACTCTGAAAGGTGCAGCAACAGAATCAATTACAATGAGTGATATACTGGTTTGTGATAGGAGTTTGGGCAGGCGGACTCTTACACAAGATAACAACTCATCAGGTTCAGTAATATGTTCAATATAAGTGTTTTTTCCATAATCAACATTAGAACAGTAATTGGGAATATTCCTTTTCATTTGTTCATATCTTTTGACAGGAAATAGATCTTCTGTACATATATATACACATCCTTGAGCCCAATTGTAAACAGTGGTATGAAGTCCAATCTGTGTTTTTCCTGTACCACTCTCACCATATATTTCTGTAATTGTACCTGTACGGAAACCACCACATAATATTAGATCTATTCCGTGGCAGCCTGATGACACTTTTGTTCTGATAGGTTTCAGACTTAGCAATTTATGGCAAGTCAATAGCTGCGGTTCTAAATTTTGACTGACAATATCTTTTATAACTTTTATATCAACTTCTGTTAGATTAGTTAGTTTTTTGATATCTGACGAAGTTAGTAAAATTATTTGTTTTACTGTACAAATATTATTCCGCTCCAATATCTCGTAATATTTTGGTGATATTAAGTCTTCTAACAACATAGTAGGTTTAATTATCATTGAAATAAAATTAATTTTTAAACGTTGTTTTCGACTTTTGAAATCATGGACGGAAATGCAATTGAAATCTTTAAACTGTTTTAAACTCCAAACACTACTCTTTTTTTTTTATTCTGTGGCTGTTTCCGTTTTACACAGAAATTTCGCCAATGCGCTTACGCCTAGGGACACGAAAAAAGTATCAATACTTTGTGGTATCGAGTACTTTTCCTTTCAATACCGATACTTTTGTACTCGATACTCTGTATTCGATACTTTTACTTAATGAGTACTTTTTGGCAAGTATCGACCTTTAAAAATTTGGATAAGCGCCTCATATTGATGGCAACGCCATCTTGTTAAATCATAGCAAACCTTCTCAAACGTTCCATAGGGTATTTGACAAGTTTTACGCAACGATCTCACGTTATTGACTAATGTTTATGGAGTCCGTAAAAATATTCATCATTCTGTCGTGTATTTCAGTAAAAATAACCAAATCAAAAACTCCATTTTCAAGTTGCCTCGAAAACGTTTTTCTGGACAATATGGCGTCTTACTAGTGTGTGACGTCACACGACTGTTGTTAAAACGTCAAACGATACAATGTAATGTCACTTTGACCGGAAGTTTACTTGCGTGTGACGTCATTTTAGGCTCCGCCAATCCCAAGCGTTTTGGTTTACGTGACAATAGATAAGAAAACTAATATCTTTTTCGTTATTTTGGCACTTTATTTTTAATACTGTCAAATGCCCTATTGCGTTGTTATAAAGTCAGTAACTGACATATTCAAATTCTTTCCAATCTGTGACTGTGTTTATTTTGCCCTTTGTTTTGTTTCATAGTTATTTATGTAGCGACCATATTGTTAGTAACTGTGATTGATTCGCCGTTTATTGTGCTTTTCACTTCACTGTATTTGATTTATTCAAGTGTAACACTATTATTCTGTCTGTGCTGTGTATACCTATTTGAAACCACCTGAAAAAAAGACGGACGTAACCTCTTCTATAATTATAATCTTGAGTGAAGCATGCCAATGGCAGCCGTTAACTACGTGTCAAATTCAAGTTAACATAAGTGGGTATAATGTTTTTATGATTAAAATTCAAGAAAAGTAAGTTTAATTTGAAACAAATCTGAAAAGTTTCATACTTTTAAATTGTTTAAGATTTCGATGTTTTTAATTAACATTTTAATTATGAATGTAATATTAATGAACACTTTTTTAGTGTCGCAAATCACAGCTTTTTTCTTTTCACTAAATAATATAGCAATTTGTGAATTTACATGTCCTTTTTTTGTTTTTGATTATACAGACTACAATAAAATTCGATTGTTTTTCTTTCAATGAGGGCTATCGCGTCTGAAACCGCCGCTAGAGGCGCTTGTGTTGCGTGAGGTCTCTGAAATGTCAAATGTTATAGCTTGCGGGTTGACTACGCGGTTTTTTTCTAATTGAAATAATAGTTCTGAATATTTGGTAATAAATCAGACCTATTATGGCAAATATGAGTTACGTGTCAATGATTGTCAGTTATTTTAAAGCGGAGCTAAGAAAAAATATTGTCCTTCTTTTTTCCGAACAAAACGGGACTGCGCAACACTGTGGCATGGGCGATTATGTTTAAGATACGATTCTTTTGTATTAAAATGTAAACTTTGATATCACGAGCGTGTTTACTAACTTTAAAAGTTACACTTCAGGACCTCACTCAACAGTGGCGCCATCTGGTGAGACAGAAAACGATAGCCCTCATTTTAACACCTTTATTCATCAGGCCACGGACAGAGGCTCTAGTTTCTAACTTTCTATTCGATATCGTGTCCCTAGCCCTACTTACGCCAAACTCCAAGACTCCGCCTGACTCTGCCTGTCTGTCACGTCAACTGTCAAAATAGTTTTTTTTAAGATTCTCCCTTTTTAGACAAGGCATAGGAACCAATGCCATGTGCCTGTCAAATTTAAGTTTAGGTTTAGAGAAACATGCTAGAATCGACACCAATAACTACCTATAAATTTTAATAAATAAAATAAGGTAATACGGCAAAATCATGATTTCTATTTAAAAATATGGCAATCTGATGTATCGAATACGGCAACTCTTTCAAACTTGATGGCAACACTGCACTCACACCAAAGAATATTTGTAAGTCTATGAGTCACACACCGAATACAATGAAATTACAAATAATACTATTAGAGAATCATGTCAGATCAGAATCGACACCACTGTACAGTGTACAACTTGAAAGAAAATTGCTTATCCATCGGTGCTTTTCAGAACAAGTATCTTGTGGTGTTAACATAACAGATGGCGCTGCCTTGCAGCTTAAGAATGGCTAGAAGAATTTCGACGCGGTCCGTGAGGGCCGCGGTAGCATAATTGGTCAGTGCATTCGCCCGGATTGCGAAGGGTGCGGGTTCGAGTCCCGTCTGCTGCCTGGGCCGCGTGGATTTTTTTCTAGTTATATTTTCTTTAAATTTAAACATCAAGCAGTTACATGCTTTAAAAAAATAAAAATTATACCTCACAGAAGCTTATTGAAAAAGCCAACTCGATATATTTCGTGCCAAACACTCCAAGAAGCATTAGAATGCGTCACACACACATTCTAATGTAAAAAAAAGGAAGATTAATACAAAAATAAGACGATGGCTGCATGGCTATTCCTTTGCCTTTCTCAATAGAGATAGAGAAGAATAGAACTAAAAAAAAATTACTCGGTAGTTTACTAAAACTTGACTTGAAAAAATAAGTTGAGTTTACTAGAAATTATATTTATTCATTATTCTGAAATCTATTATCATCAGTAGACGTACAGCACAAAAAAATTAAGAGCTCTACATATAGACAGAAAGTATCTCAAGTGTCCCACCCACCTTCATAGATTCCTTGCTCAGTGCACCTTCATATAGTTGTATGATGTACGATGTACCCATAAAATTATAAATAGAGGGAAATCACTAGCATGTTATCGGTGGGTTAGTTTAATTTCTAATAATACAAACAGTAAACAAAATCAAAAACGATAATCGATGGCTTGCAACTCTTGTGCAAAACCCTATACATTATTTAGGAAAGAAGTAAGTACTTACCTACTTAAGAGTAAGCTCTATCTTCAATATTAATTATAAATGATTACATTAATAAATGTAACAAGGCATCCCTGTCTGTCTACATATTGATACCTACTAATAATTTTTACATTTTATTTACAGAAAGGATGCCCTAATTGTGGTTTTAGTTATTGTTCAAAATGCTTACATCACACTATATTTATTAATAAACACGATGCTAACAAAATGAAGGTAAAAACTGCTTGCCTATTTTATAATTACTCTTATGTAAACATCAAATCTAACTTATAAAACCCAAACAAGCTGTTTAATATAGAGGAATAAGAAATAAGTATGTTACTGACAGTTTAATTTGTTAAATTTCAGGTATGCACTAAATGTAGTAACACCCTTACTAATATAAATAAATCTAAACCTTTGCAACCTCCAGATGCATATTACAAGTAAGTACAATTACCTAATTTTACTTTATTATATTTTGAAGTTCTTTTAGTACCTATATCTTTTATTAAAATTATGATATTGATAGTGATATGCATAATCGCTGAAGCGATACTTTGGTGTTGCTTAACCTCTCGCTAACATTAAATATATACTGAAATTAAGTTAATATTTTAGCAACATCAAAGTGGCATATAAGCGAATTTGCTTTTCCATTGCGATATAATCATGGTATGATAATGGTACCTTTATACCTTTAATGAATATTTTAAGGCGGATTGCAATGACATCAAATGAAAATAGCAATACTAACAATGAACTAGAAGAGGAGTTACATAGAAGATTGAAAAGTTTAAAGGATGATAGAAATATTACTGCTGCGAAAACTTCTATCAATGACATGATTCAGGAAAAATTACAAAATCTAAAAGGTGTGCAACCTACAACATCAGATGCTGAATTGCAGTCAAGGTTAGCAAATCTTAGAGGTGTGCCCATCATTGACTCCCAGACAAAAGTTAGTACTTTATATTTTTATGTATATTGATTGTAACTGTCCTATGAGTCATAACATAAGGCTGCACTCAAGAGTTGTCATGAATTAATGATTAAAATATATGCTATCACTTTCTTTTCGATAACCACTGAATCTGACAATGCCTGACTTAATGAAGCATTTTTCAAATTAAATTTAATTGACGGATTAAATAAATAAATATTTCCAACACTCACACCAATTAGCCTAGCCCCAAAATAAGCACTGTAAGGCTTGTGTTATGGGATGCTAGGGTAACGGATAGAATACATATACTGTACATATATAAGTATATTTTATAGAAATACATATTAAATATCCATGACTGGAGTACAAATGCTCGTATTCATCACACAAACATCTGCCCCCACCGGGATGCAAACCCGGGACCTCTCGAGTCAGCGACACCATGAAACCCGGCGTACAAACCACTCGGCCACGGAAATCGTCCAAATTACGGAGGTCAGATTAGGTAGGTTAAAAAAAATATATTTAGAGCTATTAATTATTATATTTCAGAAGATGTAACATCTGTTAAGATTTTTTCTTTAATATAGTCAAAGAACTTAGCACAGGATAAATTCAGATAGCCCACTAATTCAATTTTATAAATATCAACTGCTTTCTTAACCCCAAATGTGAGTTAAAAACTCTTTCTAGTAGAGTTCTTGATACACATGTGGGGTGAGGCTATTGTCAATCGAGCCGAACTATCAGTCTGGCACAGTTCCTGGGTGGCTGACTTTTTTGCATGAAATTAGAATTTGTGTCCCCACAGTTCATGTCAGAGATTGTCAGCACACCTCAGGGTTTCGTTTTTTTCCTTCACTTATGTTACCAAATCAACTTTGTCTCACAGTTTATCTTTAATACAATCAATGTATGGTCAGAGCGAAAATACCTGGCACAGAGTAAAGAAAATGCTGGAAGGATTGTAGGCAACAAAGTTATTTTGAGCTGGCCCAACTAACACCACCTGATTATATAGCAACTATAAACACTATTCCAGAAATTCATAACAAAGACAAAAACGGTATGTACCAAACAAGAAACTCAAAACCATAAAAACAGAAACATAAAATGCAACCACGAAAAAAAATCGAGCCTTACAGTAGTCGCGTATGATGTGTAACATTTGAAACCTCACCTTATTTAATTAGTAAAAAAAGAAATAAAACCTACTACAAAAGGAATAAGCCATTTGAACATTATGTTCTAAATAAAATCGACAGTATCGATACTATCGATAGTTTGTTATTAACGAACTACAATGCTATCGATAGTTTCGGTATTGGCTTTTCCTGTGCTATCGATAGTATCAATAAGCCGATCGATTGTCATACGATTGGTTGGCTATCGATAGACTATCGATTCATCATTGATAATCGACTATCGGTCGGCAACACTACTTATGTCCCATTACACAAAATCACTCTCACTAAGCATTCATTTAAATTCGGTTTGATTTCTTTTTCTGTGTGTTGGCTTTAATGCCTTTAGGGACATTCGGAACTATAAGACGTTTGGGTAAGTAGACATCCGGGGATTATATGTACCTAAACGTCTTTTAGTTCCGAATGTCCCTAAAGGCCTTAAAGCCAAAACACACAGAAGCCGGTGGTGGTCGGTAACCGTGTCAGGCGTAGCGGTCGTGTTGAGGGTCCTTACACTCAGCAGGCGTGCCGAAGGAGTTTTGTGGGGAAAGTTTACAAAAATGAGTCGGAAATCTATTTTAAACACCACTATTCGATAAAAAAAATACTTACTACTGAATAAACCGCTAGTAAGACGGCTCCACACCGCAACGCGCCGCCGCTGCTCTGTGTAAAGTAACTCTATACATTTTAAGATAAGTAATAAAACGATCACGGCGCACGCCGTCGCCCCGGCACCGCACCGACCTGCCTCCGTCACGCGTCGCGCAGCCGCCTCTTAGTGTCGTCGGTACGACGCACCCTGCCACCGCACCGCCTAGCCACCGCTCCCCTCCGGTAAAAAAAAACCCGCCAAGTGCGAATCGGGCTCGCGCACCGAGGGTTCCGTACAAACCTGAATTTGCAAAAATATTTTCTATTATATGAAAAATTTACGGTTTTCGCATTTTTCCTTTATCTGTACTATAAGAATAGGTATACTTCGTACCAAATTTCAAGATTCTAAGTTCATGGGCAGTACCCTGTAGGTTTTGATACCCGTGTGAGTTTCGAAAATTTGCGGCATAAACGGCTATATCTTTTGCTTTTGATTGCTTTGGCTTAGAAGTTTGATTTTTTCACAGCTCCAAGGGACAGTAGACCTAAGTATTAGATATGAATTTCAGTTTCATACCTCCACGCGTTCCTGAGAAAAACGGTCTTGACAGACGGACGGACAACAAAGTGATCCTATAAGGGTTCCCTTTTTCCTTTGAGGTACGGAACCCTAAAAACAGCCGGAACCGCAGCTCCGCTCCTGGCTTCTGTGTGTTTTGGCTTTTTTTGTGGTTATCTTAGACAGAGGCTGCACTGATACGGCGACAGCGACGCGAAATGCTTCTAGGTCGCATAGAGCGCATTCCCACTATGTCGTGAAGAAAATTTTATCGTTGAACGATTGTCGTCTCTAGCTATTCCCTTTAAATCGACTGTTATCTTTTATTGTCCACGAAATGTTTTTATCGTTGGACTGTCGTTTAAAACTATTCCGTTACGACATCGTAATATTGAACGATATTTTTACGGTTAACGGAAGTCGCCTTGTCGTTTGCACATCAGCGCCTCTACGTTATTCTTCTATCTTTATCGTGGCTACGATAGCTAGTCGTAACAACGATACACGATTTGCCGATTGTCGCTATAGTTGCGATTAATTCAATCTGTCGTCAGTCGTCAATACTAAATAAAGTCTTGGACAGCAGTTAATTGTGTCGTCCTATATGTGAGCACCTCCATTGAAATGTACAAGCCACGACACGCTTTATGCCGAATTTATAATTGTCTCACGTGTACAGAAGGAAATCTCATGACATGACTGTATTGTACTACACTTCTCATACCTGTAGGGCGATTCTTTAAGATAAAATCTCACTTCCGATTTGGTAGCTGCCATTTTAGACATAAGTTTGATATGCATTACGCTATTACACGGCAAAGTGGCTGATTTTAAAATAGAAAACGTTCGATTGTGTTTACAATTAGTATAAAAATATTACAATAGTAAAAATCGTATTACACGTTACTCAGACTTTTTGATGAGTATATTCCATTTTTCCTGTTTCATTCGCAACAATAAATCAAACAACTACAATGTAGTTGCAAGTGCACGTGGACAGTGCTAGTTTTTTGTGCATAAAGGTGCGGCCAGAGTGCACTCAGATTCAGATTCCGAAAAAAAGCGCGAGAAATAAACAGTGTAGTCGAAGGGTACGGCCAGAGTGCACTCCTGATTCAGATTCAGACTCAGAAAACAAAGCGCGAGAAAAAGCAGGCAACCTGCTTAGACTACACTGTTTATTTCTCGCGCTTGTTTTCAGAATCTGGATCTAAGTGCACTCTGGCCGCACCCTAAGCCAAAGTTGACAATCCCAGCGCGACCGCCGAGCACAGCATAGGTATTCTATAAGATGCAATCTCATTTATTCAGATTTCTGACTAATGTCAAATATCCAATGACGACATATAATTTAAAGACAGGTTATACGCCAACACTTGCATTTTAAAACAGCCGCCAATAGAGCGCGCTAAAGTAGTCTCTTTGACTCTCATTCTTAAGCAGATTACTGGTGTATTCCGAAATATACATCAGTATACTGGCCAATGGTAATGACGTCACGAATCCGACGCCATCTTGTACTGGTATGCTACCATATTTTTACCCGGAAAACGGATATGACGTATGACCGACCGTGCGTGAGATGCATTAGAATTTTATTTCTTTATTATTTAAAGAATAATAATGGCATCCGAACAAAAAGAACTTTTAATTTATGAGGTGAATAAAAAATCTTTATTCGCACTCTTTTTGATATTTCGTCGATTTATGACGTCAGTGCACTGGCCAATATATTTCGGAACAATTCACCAGTATATCGTCGATTCATGACGTCATTAGCACTGGCCAATATACTGGTATGTATTACGGAATACACCCTACATCTCGATCTTTAGCCTCCACATATCTACGGTGTCAGCAACTGTCAACATAAGTAATCACTAAATATTTTTAAATGTTTTTCTTGTCTGTAATAGGTCCGTGTATTTGTGTACTTGTAAATCAACATAGGGATTTTTGTCTGGATAAACATAAAATATTTTGATTTGATACGTTGTATAGATAGTCTATCTGATGTGTTGGTACGACTACGTTCTTTATTCTTATACAATATTTGCTGGGGACTTGTAAAGCTCCCCACCCACGGACTGGAGACAAGCAGTCCTTGTCACTATACCCCTCAATCATAGCTTTGTCCAACCATCGTCTTTGTTCGAGCTGTATTTGATACCAAAGCCAAAATTATCTTTATGTTTCGCATTATACCTATACGCTTCACGTTTCATCAATCTTACTGAGTAGGATTTCTAAACTTTGTAGATATACTACACCTACAGCAAAAGCTAAATAATTCTAGTTTTCTCGATCTTGGATAGTGTGAATCCACGTAACAATCTTATAAAATCTCCAAGGAATATCACTCCCGACAAAATACTGATGTCCACATAAAAAACTAATTTCACCCTGGTATTCATCCCCATATCTTGAAGCGTGTCCACACTCGTGCTATTTTTGTAACGTAACCATCAATGCTTCCGCACTCACAAATAGGATTCGAAAACCTTTAAAAAGAGCGTACTCCTTCCTTAAAAACCGGTATCACATCTTTCTTTCTTTCAATAATCATATTTTTTCTTTGGAAATATTCTAATATAATGCTCCTTTCCTTCTGTGTTGTTAAGAATAGAAATAGTTTTATTTTTGAAAACTATTTGATTCAAGTACATCCTAATATGTACTCCAATTAAGTTCAAGCTGCCCTACCCATTACAATAAATGCGTGTTTGGATGTCCAATTGTGGCTACAGCGAATTATGATCGTGCACCACAATTTAAGCGGATCACTTTTGAGCCGCGAGTGCCGAATCTGCCCTTTTTGTTTTAATCTAAGTCTAACATACACTCGCGTGACTTGACTCAGTCTAGTGAAATATCCGAGCGCAACTTAGTTATGTTCGTGAGTTGGTCCAACAGCGGCGTTAAATACAGGGGAACAACGCTGTGAATACCGACTCCCCTCCTGGCTGCGTCGGTGTAATTTTTAACACTTATTAGGGACCTACAATCATCGAAAGTAAATACTTTGTCATATCGGTGTCTTTATTATTGAAAATACGTAATTTTAAATAATTTTAACTTTTCAGCCTACGGTTTTTACTTCTGATCTCAGAACAGAACAAGAGCAAGCTGATGATCTATTGAAAAGCTATTTGGAACAAGCAAAAATTGATAAAAAATATAAACAGGGATTTGATAAGAACATTGAAGATATCGAATCGAGAGTGCATAAACTGAAAGGTCAAACTGCAGATAAATCCACTACAAAGCATGAGGCAGACTCCGACTCTACAGATGAAGAGATAGAAATAGCAAAGCTCATTGAAAAGGTACCCAATTTTTCGTATTTTAGGTTAATTTAACAGGACAGCTACTCTGTCTGCCCCTGCTATCCCTGAACCGTTTTTGATGAATTTTAGTATAGCGACGCAAAATAGATAGCCGAGGTATTTGCCGATCAGTTAGTCATTTGCAAAAGGAATCGCACGGATTGACCAGATTTCCGAGTTACCTTTACTGAGAATTAAGTAAGAGAGATTTAATACGGGGAATAAAGTTACTCATTACCTTGACCTCGACAGACAAGATCTTCCATTCATTCCCACACATTCACTGGCAAATTTCACTTCCTTTTCTTGAAAGTAATTTACGTAACAATACGTAGTTTTTATTGTTACAATATAAATTAAAATATTCTATAATAATTCTAAGATAGGCTAAGATATTCTATTCTGTCTGTTAAATCAGACCTTTTGTATTGCTACTACTTTTTAATGTTTCTTTAGCTCATCTAATATAAATTCTTATAGGTAAAGGTAGAATCATCTCTATTAGCAGAAGATGATATATCATCGCCATCACAAAATGAGGAGTTACCATTTTGTGAAATTTGCAATGAAGATGCCAAAATGAGATGCTTAGGTTGTCGTTATTTATTCTGCAAAAGATGTTTTATGGAACATAGAGATGATGATGATGGATGTAACAAATATGTACCATATGGATCAACTCAAACAGAGGATAGTATTTAAAAGAGCATCATACTTTAACATTTACTTCATAACATGTTTGAAAATGATAATCATTGCAACTACACATCATTTTATAGGTTTGACAATGAATTGCTATGTAATAGGTATATAGTTTAAAATATATATTTTTTGGAGATTGAACTTGTATATTAAATAATGTTTATTTGCTAACAGTAATAAAAAAATGGTACCTATTGATTGTTTTTATTTTTATGTACCTCTTGTATTATATCTGGTAAAATTTTTATAAGATCCTCAGCAGTCTGTTTGTATTCTGACTCAATCCAAATGTTTTTTAATTTCATAATAATTGGACCATACATCTTTCCAGGGGGGACACCATTTTCCTTCAAGATTTTACCACTTACTGGAAATTGTGGTATTTTCCAATTACTGAATTGTTTTAATAGAGTCTCTTCACCTTTATATTTCAGAACTTCTTTTACGTAATCTATAGCATTTTGCTGTTTTATCTTCGTATTCAGCACTAATTTCTCATAAGGTCTGTAAAGTGACATTTTATTTTTACTAAGTATCATAAGGTTCTTAATACTAAATAAGATTATTTTCATACTTACAATAATGGCCTATCTGACACTTGATCTTTTCTATTTTCAACCAGAAAGTAAGCCATGTCACGGTCATAGCCAGAGAACTTTAACCTGTCATACAATACTGTAACATCATCTATATCTTTTAATAATGCTACTAAGTAACTCACTGGGTGCAAAGCTAAATGCTCTGCACGTTTCAGGACAATGTTCAGTTCTGTTATGTCTGTATTTTGCGGTAATCCTGGAAAATATTGAATAATATATAATAATCTAAAGAAAATATAACTAGAAAAAATTCCACGCGGACCAGGCAGCAGACGGGACTCGAACCCGCACCCTTCGCAATCCGGGCGAATGCACTGACCAATTATGCTACCGCGGCCCTCACGGACCGCATCGAAATTCTTTCTAGCTATTCTTAAGCTGCAAGGCAGCGCCATCTCTTCGCATTATAGGTAAAGCAGTTACATGCTTTAAAAAATAATAAAAATTATAATATATAATAAGCATAAAATCACTAGTAATATATTAAAGAGGTGTAAACCTAGTGGCGCCATAACCTCTAGCTGCTATTTTAAACATGCAAGGGATTACACTGCCATATTATGAGATTGGATTTGGTAACACAGAGATGGAGATCTCTGTATCTCGAAATCTTTAAGTTATTCTATTGTTTGTGACACAAATAAATGCCCCTTCCCGCATTCTAAGCAACAAGCCCTTGGAGCAGATGACAAGTGCAAAAAATATTGATATATTAAAATAATATTTATGCATTATATAAATTTTAATGTATTAATTCAATTTCATTAGCAAATCGGAGTCGCTAATCTTTCCCATACTAATATTTTAAAGAGGTGAAGTTTGTTAGGTTATAATCTCTGGAATTCGTAGATGTATAACAATTAAATATTTGTAAACCAATAGAATGCCACATTTTTTGAGTTAATATAATATATCAATGAAAGAAATGAATTGAATTTAAATTTTGCAATATTTAATAATTTATTTTACCAATGTAGGGTCCAACTCCCACATCCAGCATGGTTTTTAATAGATTCCCAACAAAATTTCCTTGCAAAGTTTTTTTGAGTTCAACCCAAATTCTTTCCCCAGAGATATTTTGCAATCCGTCCACATTGTTTTTAAGTACTTTAAGAGTGTCCTCTTCATGACGATTAGGGTACTCTGCAATTTTACCATAAAAACGGAAATATCTCATTATTCTCAAATAGTCTTCTTTCACTCTTACATCTGCGTCACCCACAAATGCAACTCTTCTTTTCTGTAAATCTTCATACCCAAAAAAGTAATCATAAACAGATCCATCAAAACCTGAAATTAACATTTATAATTATGATAATATATAAATATAGTACTCAGTTTACAAATAAAAACAATGAGTTTTTAAATGTACCCAGGAACATTGAATTTATAGTCAAATCTCTTCTGTTAGCATCTAACTTCCAATCAGTCGTGAACTCTACTTCAGCATGACGACCATCTGTGACCATATCTATCCTTAATGTGGTCACTTCAAAGTTTTCTTTATCATTAATTCTTGGTGTAATTGTGCCATGTTTCTCTCCGTTCATGTTAATCATTCTGACATTCTCAACTGTAAACATATCCTTCATCTGCTGTGGTGTTGCTACAGTAGCAAAATCTAAATCTTTAGGCTTTTGCCCCAGAAGAAGGTCTCTGAATAAAGAATTATTGAAATCAAGTTAATTACAAACAATTATTAAATGTTTAAAGAAAACAAGTTAAGGAAACACATATAACCTTACAGCTCCCCCAGCAATTCTGATTTCGTAATTATATTTATCAAACAATCTTCTTAACTCTTGAACTTCAGAGGTAAATATACTCTTAAATTCTGGTGAGTCCAATTTAGTGACCACAGGATTTTCTCGATGTTTGAGGTCCATATCTATTCTTGAACGAACTTTCCGTCGAGTTTTAGGTAGACTTACACCGGTCCAGGTCGCCTATAAGGAGAAAATAGTAACAATCCCTTCCTAAAACAATTATTCTTGAGGTTAAAAAAATATGTTAGTACTTTCAGTCTGCTGAATCTAGCCACATTGAATAAAACTACTCTTAAGGTTTTATTCATAACTTCTGGTTGATTTAATACACAATTTTTGAGTTGTTGTCATTTTTTATCTAAAGAATCAAAGAAATGAAATGATTATTTTTATTTTTTGTTGAAGTTCTCCCGTTTTTGGGGAAGGCAAAGGGAACAATGCCCATACATCCTAGTCTTTAATTAAATTAATCTTCTTTTTGTTTTACCATTAGAATGTTAGTTATTATTAGTGTGACACATTCTAATGTTTCTTGGAGTGTTTGGCACGAAATGTATCGAGTTGGCTTTTTCGATAAGCTTCTGTGAGGTAGTCAACACTACAATAAAATTCTCACGTCCACTTGACCGGAATAGCGTATATTTTAACGATTCCACTAATTCTTCAGTTACGCAGACGGTTGTTACACAAAACCACACCAATTTTATTTCACAATATCCCCCATGAACGAATTTAAGAATAATTAAATTAAGACGCCAACCGCACTCGACGAAATCCCGCCAAAAAAAACCACTTTTTTTTTGGTTAAGTTCTCCCTTTTCAGGGAAGGCAAGGGGAACAATGCCCATACAGCCTAGTCTTAAGTTAAATTATTCTATTTTTCTTTTTACATTAGAATGTCGGTGTGACGCATTCTAATGTTTCTTAAAGTGTTTGGCGCGAAATGTATCGAGCTGGCTTTTTCGATAAGCTTCTGTGAGGTAGTTAATACTACAATAAAATTCCCACGTCCTCTTGACCGGAATAGCGTATATTTTGACGATTCTACTAATTCTTCAGTTACGCAGACAGTTGTAACACAAAATCACACCAATTTTATTTCACAATATCCACTATGAACGAATTTAAGAATAATTAAAATAAGACGCCAACCACACTCGATGAAATCCCGCCAAAAACTCCCCATTTTTTTATCATTCTACCCCTCTTTTTTTTTAATTTAACTGGCCTTGGAATCATTCTCCCAAAGAGTAGTATTTATATTATGGGAAAAGAGTGCCCTCTCAAGGAAATTTCGTGCCAACTCTTTGAAAGCAGCGCCTCTAGCTTCGTGATCTCGGACTTATCGTGTATATATGCATAAAACACCTATAGCGTGTTATCTATACTACTTAACAGTAAATTCTATTTTGCTTGATTAGACTTTAATAAAATTATGTATTTTTTTATGTGTCACAATAAGTCTAATAAAGCAAAATAGCTAATATTTAAACAAATATCACACCAGAAAATGGGTATAAGAAAACTACAATAAAATGAAATCAAATATACATTTATTATTGTAATAAAAACAATACATTTTAAGATTGATGCATATTCAATAGTAATTTCTCATATCATTTTCGATTTTTATGTTTAAATTTATTATATTATATTTAGGCCAATTTCTTTACTTCATCCTCACCATGATACATAATTTTTCCGGTTAATATTCTATTAACTGCTCTAGTTCAACTGCACAAAATTACATTTATTGTAACATTTAAAAAGTATTTTTGAAGCTCATCCTTATTTAGGTCTACTTAAAGCTGTAGTTGTGTTTCATTAAGAAAGATAATGACGTGTGCTGTGGACCTGAAAATTTAAGAAAAATAAATTAGTTACATGCCTTCAATTGATTGACAAATTTGTACATATAATACAAGTTTATTTCGTTGCATGAAAGATTACATACTAAGATGAATAACAGTTTCAACTCTGACTACATACAGTTGAAACTGTTCCTTTTATGTAATGGCTCAATTAGAATTGTTCATTTGCCCATGACTTGAATTCGGGCTCTCAAGCAATATTAACACTGGAATATAGGCTGGAAAACAGTGTCAGGTAACCAAAACTATCCGAATATGGGTGTACTCAACTCCATTTGCCACAACAATAATATTCATTTATTACATCAGGTAATAAAGGTACTAGGAGCAGTAGACAAGTTGTTGGTTGGTTATCAGTCAGAGATTGCTGAGAATAGTTGGTTCATCTGAAATATAATATACAGTGCTTTATTTACGAAAAAAGTAATACCAAATAATGCCTTTAATTTATGACAGGTTTGTATTTCATAAATACTTGCACACAATTTGTAGGTTTTGTAATCAAGTAGGTATGTTACTAAACGGATACAATTATATATTTGAGTGATGATTATTTATAACTTTCAATTCACTCATATTGATGATAAAAATAAATAAAAATAGCCTTTATTCTCTGATATAGTTATACCTCATATTGATGATATGAAATGTTTATTAGTATATAAAAAAAGACAAACCTGATTGATTTGGAATGGACATTGATGTATCTCTTATCTATTAGACAAGTCCGTCCGTCCGTGGTGCTGTTTCAGCGGCCAAACCGTAAGAGATAGATAAAGAGAATGTTTAAGTTATAAGTTAAGAATAGTCTGATAAGACTACAAACCGGATTTGAGTAACGTAGCACTTCCGGTTTTCGAGAAATCACGAGATTTCTATTTCAAACGAAACCACACACAATCTCCGAAGTTTACAATTATTATTATTATTTTTTTTGTGAACATTTGGTTCACTGGTTTGCTAGTTAGGAATAATTGGAGATCTTTGCTGAATATCTGGTGAACCTGTAATGTTACGAAGATACTATGTCAGTAGAGTTAATCTTATATCTATTTTAATTTTATATACAACTCTCTTGAACCATTCATATTATTTGAAAAATTCTAATACCATTTGGAAGATATATTATTTCAAATGAAAATATATTGTTAAAACATGATGTACACGGCACTAGCCCTATATAAAAGCACAAGTTGTAACTTACCAGGCAAATAAAGAGAAGGAACAGCCAGGGGCGGTTTATGCACTAGGCCCGCTAGGCCCGAGCCTAGGGCGCCGTGGCAGAAGGGGGCGCCACGGGCCGATAAATTTGAAAGATTAAAAGCGAGAAAGCGAACGTTTTAATCGGGTCCACTCAAATGTCAATATCGCCAATATAAAATATATATGTGCTCCATTTCTACCCACAAACCTACATAATATATGTATGATTGAAATTCTGTTTCCGTTAAATTATTTTTGAAATACACTCCCGCTCAAAAGTATGGGTTCACTTCTCGAAATTTTCAGCTTCGGTATAAGTTCCATATCTTGGTGGAAAAAGGTCGTAAGAGAATTTAATGAGCACCGTTTTGAAGGGGACAGTTTTAGCTTCACTTTGCCTCTTTTTATAATTTTTTACTTTTTTTTTTATAGTCCCCACGCGCTTTTGAACATGGCAGTTTTTCGATGTTTTTTTGCCCTCTGGAAACGGGCTGTCTGGCTGGTAAAAAATTTTCCTTGCAATTTCATTCATCGCAGTTTCAAAGAGGATATTAAACACTGCATTTTTGTTTTTGAAAAAGTATCGTGCGATTTTTTTTACCAAAAATATTCTAATTTTTGACAAAAATTGATAATTTTATTCAATTCGGCGTATCTTGAAAACGGCGGGTGCTCGAAGAAAATAGCAAGGGGGTAAAAAGTTGCAATAGATCATGATGGATCTTGTAGATTTATTTCAGATTTTTTTTCCGTCATTTGTTTTTTCATACTCTTGCAGTCGAAATGATTTAAATTTTCTCATGATTTTTTCTTTTTTTTAGACGGCGCAGGCATTTCTTTTATTGGTTTTATAACCATCTTGACGTAATTTTTACTAAAAATCAAATTTCGCACAATTTTTTGTACGTTTTTTTCATTTAAAAAAAATAATTTTTAGTTCAAATTACGTCAAGATGAAGATGAAACCAATAAAAGCAATGCCTCAGCCGTTTAGAAAAAAGAAAGAATCATGGGAAAATTAAAATCATTTCGACTCCACGAGTATGGAAAAACAAATGTCGGAAAAAAATTCTGAAATAAATCTACCATGTCCATCATGATCTATTGCAACTTTTCACCCTCTTGATATTTTCTTCGATCACCCGCCGTTTTCAAGATACGCCGAATTGAATAAAATTATCAATTTTTGTCAAAAATTAGAATATTTTTGGTAAAAAAAATCGCACGATACTTTTTCAAAAACGAAAATGCAGTATTTAATATCCTCTTTCAAACTGCGATGAATGAAATTGCAAGGAAAATTTTTTACCAGCCAGACAGCCCGTTTCCAGAGGGCAAAAAAACATCGAAAAACTGCCATGTTCAAAAGCGCGTGGGGACTATAAAAAAAAAAGTAAAAAATTATAAAAAGAGGCAAAGTGAAGCTAAAACTGTCCCCTTCAAAACGGTGCTCATTAAATTCTCTTACGACCTTTTTCCACCAAGATATGGAACTTATACCGAAGCTGAAAATTTCGAGACGTGAACCCATACTTTTGAGCGGGAGTGTATAAAAATCATTTATTCTAGCCTGTGCTTTTTCAACTATTTTATGGAGAGGGGAGAGGAGAGGGGGCGCTAATTTCGTCAGGCCTAGGGCGCCCGTTTTCGTAAACCGCCCCTGGGAACAGCTAAAGCACTAAGGCAATGACAGCTTGTTTTATGTTGATCTATAAAATGCACATCACAAATCCTCTTCTTTTTATAGAATTCATAATCAGATGGTGTTTCCAGTTTTCCTCAAATAATTTGTACTCATTTCTTAAAACATTCTGGGAATTTAATTGGATTTGGAATAAAGTGTACTGTTGTACCTGAAAAGAATAAGATTTGTTAGATTCTTGTTTGCAAGTAACTAAGGTATCTTTATGTCCTTATATGTGTGTAAAAGATAGAGAAGATGAAAAGTCCATTATGATTATAAAGACAATCATTCAAGAAAATTTTATTATGTTTTTATAGAAATTTGACTTTTATCGTATACAACATTGAAGGTTGGTAGTGGTGTCGATTCTGGCGTGATTCTCTTAACTTAAAAAACTAAATTTAACATCAGCCTCTCCTTTTCATTCTGTATAGTGAATGACAAGGATACATTAAACTACTTGACCGTCACTGAAAGCTTTATATTGAGATAGCACTTCCGTTTCCCGTCGAATTAACATCAGTTTCCGTACTTTTATTCACCTTGTATCCGGTCCAGTGGCGACACCTGGCAGAAGCGCGGCCATTTATGTTTTCCTAAGTTTTGACAGCGCCATATTAACTCATTGGCGTTCTGACTCCCGTCGAAGCAACACGTGCTCAATCTGAACGATCGTTGTGCGATTTTAAAGGTTTTATTATTATTAAGTGATAAAACTGTAAGTAAAACTATTTTATTTAACGGTTTTTGCCGTTCGTGTTATTCCAAATAGGTACTTTACGTATTAAAAGTGAAGGAACCGTAAGTAAAACTATAATTCTTTTTGATAGTTTTTGCAGCCCTTGTGATAAGGGATATTTAAAACAAATATGTTAAATTGTGCAATACGCTTGTTTGAAAAAGTAATAATAAGCCGTGAGTAAAACTTAACGACAATTCAAGGTGCGTTTTGTTTAAAAAATTAAAGTACCTACATTAAAGTAAATTTTGCAATACTTTACGTCTGTCTTTGTCGTTTATCATAAAAACTATTTTAAGAGTGTTTTCTCTTGGTACTCAATTAATGTTTCCGTATAAGTAAATGTGAAAGTAAATTGGTAAATGTATTACAAAATACTTAATTAAATTGTTTTACAGTTTAGAGTGAAGGAATATCGGTCAATATTGACGTTTCAGCCGCCGACTGACTGGCATTATTGGCAAAAACAGCAAGATGTGTGTTATTTATATTTGTGATTATTGTTCTTCGAACAGCTGCAGTAATAATTGGTTGAATTTGTCGTCTTCTGGTATAACGAAAGCGGCATCGCTGCCTCAAGAAAAATAAGCGAGCTTGATATCCCAGCCCTTTTATTAAAAGATTGTTCGAGGGGTAAGTGAACTATGTACAATCTTAATAAGGTATTTCTAAT